ATATATATATATATATATATATATATATATATATATATAGTATATATATATATATATATATATATATATATATATATATATGTACGTAACGTAACAATGTTGAGAGAGGTATTGAAGGAAAGTGTATGTTTGAAGAAGTTCTAATTTATTATTGAATTTTGGATTCCACCGTAAAATTTAAAATTTATCGTGAATCTCTTTTTCAGTCTCGAAAAAAGTCTCTTTTGAAAAAGTCTCTTTGCATTTATTCGCTCCATATAATCTTATTGTCATGAAAGGGTTGTCGTTTTTAGGCCTCGGCGACTTTCACATACCCACGAGCATGCTACACATCCAGAGGCTCGTTTACGTTCTACTACGTTTTCGGAAAAAAAAGTGAAAAAAGTGCTGGTAAATCTTGTCATTAATCTCTGTTTACCATTTTGAAAAATTACATTCCATTTTCTGAGCACTATCTATAAATTAACAGTTCTTCATTTCAAGTTTTATTTTCAAATTTGTAAAAATTAGCAGAAAGTTTCGTTGACAACGGCTGACTCAACGGTACTGAAAGATGACTCTGTGAAGCAGAATGCTGTACATCTTGCGAACATCAATCTTGCTGAATCTGATGCAGAAATTATTGTATGTCTTTTTTTGCAAATATTATCCAATTAAAAAACCAGTGATCTGAAAATTTTGTATCGACCTAATGGTAATGAGGAAGCGAGTCTGGGAAGGAAGAATGAGGGAACGGAAAAGCGGGGAAGAGATGCATGAAGGAGGGAAGTGTTCAAAAGAAGGGGAGAACGACAAATTGTGCCTGAAGAAATCTTGTGTTATATACTTCTAAAATCATGTCTATTTCTTTTTATTTTAACGATTTAGCTGAATCGTTTACCGGAAGAAGCTTCAGTTTCGGAAACACCGCCACATCTTTCTTTTGTCAGTGAACTTATATCGAGTACAGTATTTCTTAGTGGCGTTACTGCAGAAGTAAGCATTTTAAAATAGTTTTCATTTTATAAAGTCCATTATTTTCTCAATATGTCACATCCTATTTTCTTAGCAAGAAACTGTGTATTATTGAGGAGTGGTCTAAATTATTACAGGAAGAGTTAACTGAAGCAAACTCAGATTCGAAACAGCATAGAATAATGTCGGATAATCGATCAGCTGTCGCAGATCTTCAAAATAATTTATTAAAAGCACCGTCTATTGTTTCTGCACGAACCGTTCCTGAAAGTGGTATGCATGGAACACCTTTCCTTTGTCTTTCATTTTCGTAATACCTCACACTCATAAGAGATTCTTTAGAATCTGGTTATCGTATCGATAATCAAATTGTTGGAGGTATTAGTCGTATGGCTGCTCAGCAGTGCGTATTTTTTAGCAGCTGAAAACATCAAAACAGAAGAAGTCAAAGCTGGTCATTTGTCAGTGCTGGATGGAGTATCTCGGATGAAACAGATTGATGCTGGAAAAATGACGAAGACTGAGGACGATCAGCGGTCATCCACTGAAGCATCAGGTTTGTTTAAATAAGCAAGAAAGATGTCTCCATCGATTTTATTGTTGGATATGCAATAAATGGTACTTTATATAATTATCGTTATTTTGTAGATGGAAATGATGACAAGTCGACAGTTTTAACATAACAGAAGTTGTGGAAGAAAAAAGGCAACATCCGGTTCGTTTTTGAATATCTCTTTTTCCTCGAACATTTAAAGTGATTTTCTCTGATGCCTGCATTTTTCTTATTGTTCGTATATGAAAGTGCGATACAATATAAGATTTCAAGCTTATTGCATATCGATAAGGACATTAAGAATTCTAGTTCATTTTGTTTTGTCGTTTACAGAACTACTTCGAATGATAATGAATGCTACTTTCGAATGATAATGAATATCTGTATGTTTGAAGGAGACTACATTAGTTGTATGTAGTTGTGGCTACAATTCCGGTGAGGTTATTGTAAAGTGGCATCCGGATTAGCCAAGTGCATATCTAATATTCCTATTTGAGGGCTTTTATAATTGAAAAATTTGAATGCGGTATTATAAACTTAGTTTCTTTTTCTTTGTGTGTGTGTGAAAATATCGGTATTTTTCTCTTGCAGGACACAAGTGAAAGACAAGCAGAATTGGTGATCCTAGCAAAAAGTAATGAGATGGATTTAAAAAAGGATGTTGACAGCGAGCCAAAGGAATGCGCTGGAGTGCAGCAGATTTGTAAATTTATATTGGTTTTTTTAGATGCAGTTATACAGGAAACACTGTTTTTTACAATTCAGTATTTTGAAAATTCCATTGAGCGGGTGTGCTTCTTTTTGATTGTTAAATGATATAATAAAGCATCTTTTTTTTTACAGCACCTGATGATTCAATTCAAAAAGAAACTTTAATTTGTAAAGAAATCTCGTTGGAATTAGAAGCCACAGCTGAAGATATAGCTTCAAAAGAATGTGATGATGAAGGTGAGCTATGATAACAGTTAGAAAAGATAGATATCTCATGTTGACTTTTGTTGGGCTTGGCTTAGTTTTACGATCGATTCTAGTATCCAGACGTGTAGAATTCTAGTGAATTGTTCGGTGATATGAGTTAATAACAGTCTATTTAGAAGTATGTGGATATTATGAATTTTAGTTCTTTTTGGATTCATAATTTCCAAAATGATATTTCGTTGGATCACTTGTGCATGTTGTAAGCATTGTTGTTTTCCGTTAAAAATTCTGGAGTTCATTTTGATAATATGGGAATCTGTCAAGGAAATTAAGATACGAGCTGAAGAAGCTAGTTCAACAAGGAAGTCGAGTGTTTTATAATAGTATAGTCTGAATAATAATGTACGCAAAAATTTTTAGCTTGGCATCCGCCGATGTCTTTGGGACTTAAGCAACGTGGTCGTGGAATGAAAAAGAAGAAAGTTGGTAGAAATGCGTCGAATACATTGGCCGAACGTAAAGGCGTTGGAAAGGGAGGATCCAAACAAACAAACAGTGAGGAGCGAAGTAAAGAAAGTGAGGAATGCTCATCGAGTGATGATGAAAGTGTGTTTTGCCTGCTTACTTAACATTCCACAGTTGGTAGATGACTAATTTTTTTAAAAGAAAA